GGGCCGTGATAACACTAAAGTGTTAAGAAAATGTGTGAAGTATGGAAAAAATTGCAAAGTTTTGTTGAAAAAACTCGCCCAGATAAAGCTGTAGCAGACCGTTGCATTGACCTTTTAAATGACAATGTGATGTCTTACTACAGACAAGTGTTAAAATGTAGGCAAAAACAAGTGTCTTTAGACAGATTCTTAGTAAGACAAGCAAGTCTTAGTGGTATGCAGGCAAAATGTTCCAGAGTGTGCACACCAGTGAAGTCCTCACTGCCTGATGTTATAATGGAAGGGGACTCCTCTTCCAAACAGTATCACCTCTTCTCCTCCTCCCTCCTCCTCACCATCTTCCATATGCCAACAGCAGTCATCAGCAAGGGTAAGTAATACCTTGAACATAGTTTTGTAGGTTTATTTAGATGAATTAGGTATAAAATTTAGTTTAAAGTAGGGTTTTTGGGGTAGTCAGGAACGGATTAATTCATTTCCCATTATTTCTTATGGGGAAATTAGCTTCGGAATACGAGTTTTTGGAATACGAGCTGTCTCCAGGAACGGATTAAACTCTTAAACCGAGGTACCACTGTACTCGTATGCCCCTGTGCTCGTATTTTTTGGTACTCGTACGCAATTTCTCCAAAAAATTTGATTCGGTACTCATTGTTTGCCTCAGTGCTCGGAATTCATTCATACACATCCAGGTCCACGGAGCACATGGCATCGCAGCGAGGTGCACCTCGGTTTACAGCGTCCTGCCGAGGTCACGACTAGGCTTGAATTCTTTGTGAAGAATTTCATTGTTTTGGGGCCATTTTTAATGTCTGAACATGAAAGTAATCATCATATATCAAGCCATGGGTCCCAAGAAATTCAGTGGTAAAGTTTAATCTAAGAGAACAACTGTGAGGATAACCATCTTCTTGAGATGATCTTGAGATGATTTCGGGGTTTTAGTGTCCCCACGGCCTGGTCCTCGACCAGGCCTCCACCCCCAGGAAGCAGCCCGTGACAGGTGACTAACACCTAGGTACCTATTTACTGCTAGGTAACAGGGGCATAGGGTGAAAGAAACTCTGCCCATTGTTTCACGCCAGCGCCCGGGATCGTACCCGGGACCACAGGATCACAAGTCCAGCGTGCTGTCCGCTCGGCCGACCAGCTCCATAGAACACGAGATCATTCGTAAATATGAAAATGGTATGCAGCCTGTTGAAATTGCTAGATTGTATAGCAAAAGTTTGTCAATGATATGCTCTGTAATTGCTAAGAAAGAGGAAATTATGAATGCTAAAGTGGCAAAAGGTGTAACAACAGTCGCGAAACAAAGAACACAAACACTTGAGGTTGAAAATTTATTATTAATTTGGATAAACAACAAGCAGTTAGCAGGTGATAGCATTTCATAGGCTATCATTTGTGAAAAAGCAAGGATGGTGCATGAATATCTTATAAAGAATACCCCTGGAACAAGTGATGCAGACACGAAAGACTAAGGCGAGCAGGGGATGGTTTGAGAAATTTGGAAAGAGAAGTGGCATTCATGGTGTAGTGAGGCATGGGTGAGGGTGCCAGCGCAGACAAACCCACGGCTGAAAGATTTGTTCGCGATTTTAAAGCTTTTGTAGATAGTGAGGGATATATACCACAACAAGTGTTTTGCTGTGACGAGACAGGGCTATTCTGGAAAAAATTGCTGAAGAGGACGTACATTACCCAAGAGGAGACGACATTGCCTGGACACAAGCCTATGAAAAATAGGTTTACTCTTGTGCTGTGTGATAATGCGAGTGGCAATTTGAAAATAAACCTTTGCTTGTGTATCATTCCAAAAATCCAAGGGCTTTAAAAAACATAACGGGCAGAAAAACAAATTGTGTGATGTGGAGGGCTAATAGTACGGCATGGGTGACCAGGCAATATTTTACAGAGTGGGTGAATGAAGTGGTTTGCCATGTCATCAAAAAACATCTGCAGGAGAAAAGTTCACCACTCAAGGCTGTGCTTCTCCTCGACAATGCTCCTGCTCATCCTCCAGGCTTGGAGGACTCATTGTTGGAGGAATTTAGTTGTTATAATAAAGTTCCTTCCTTCCCCACACCACTCCTCTAATTCAGCCTGTGGACCAGAAAATCATTGCCAATTTTAAGAAAAAACTATGTTGGGGCACTTTTCTGGAAATGTGTCCAAGTGATGGTTACCACAAACCTCTGCCTCAAAAAGTTCTGGAAAAACCATTTTCACATTCTGAGTGTTTTAAACCTCATAGACAAAGCCTGGGAAGATGTGACTAAGAACCATGATCTCTGGCTGGAGAAAATTGTGGCCTGAATGTGTTCCAGAACGTGACTGAGGGGTTTGAGCCTGAACCTCAAGTGCCTCTTGTTGAGGAAATTGTTTCTCTGGGCCGGCAATTGGGCTTGGAGTTGGATGGTGCTGATGTGGAAGAACACAGCGAAGAACTGACCACTGATGAACTCCTAGCCCTTCAAAAGGAGCAGCAACAAGAGGCAGCTGAGGAAATTTCTTCGGGGAGGAGGAGGCAGTAGAGGATTTCCCTTCCTCAACACTTAAGAAATGGTGTACAGTATGGGATGAAATGCAAAATTTTGTTGAAAAGGCTCACCCAAGTAAAGCTGCAGCAGGCCGTTGTGTTAACCTTTTTAATGACAATGTGATATCTCACAATGCTTTCTGAAAGCAGTCATGGACCGAAGGGGCCACCATAAATAGAGAAGAGAGAAAGGAGAACAAGGACCAAGGACAGCTCAGGTGGTGCATGAGCAGGCCGGAGGTGAAAAAATGCAAGAGAAAGCTTACGAAACAGAGCAGAAGTGACATCTACCCTGAATGCAAGCTGGAGTGGCTCAGCCAGCGCCGCACGATATGAGGTGACAGTATTTAGCATAAGATGCCTGTCGTGAAAGAGCCAAGAAAAGAAAGACAAAATAACAATTCGAAACCAAAGACTACCTACAAAGGGAAAAGCTAGAAGTGGGGCTAGAAGGAGAATCCGTTCCCTATAGAACTTTAGCCGAGCCAGAACCCGAAGCAACAACAACCGGGAAAAAGAGGTACAGGAACCCCACATCAACCAGTCCTGCCGAAAAGTGTATCACAACTGCTTCGCAGTCAGGAAAGGGTGCTACATAAACAGAGATGCCTCGACCACACTGATGTAAAGAGGTCCACCTCCGGGGACTTGAATGTCTGGCAAAGCCAACTGTAGGAGTCGGCATCGACCCTCAATTCCATGGACAGGGAATGAACTGCAACAGGCCATTCACCAGGACATTGGACATGCCCCTTACGTGAACCGTGCAGAGAGCTAAAGACCCGGGAACTCGGCAGATGAGCCAATCGAAATCACCAGCTCCAAAGAGCCAAGGACCATAGAGAACCCCCCCCCCCCTCCCTGCGGTTTAGGCTATGAACCACTGGAGCGCAATCCAAATGGAGCCAGATCATAGAGCCTCGAGGGAGCCAAATCCAACAAGGCAAAAGCCACACCGCCGTGAACTCCTGCACCATGCTGTGAGCCCGACAGAAGGACTGAGCCCACTGCCCCTGGCCAGCCTCGTGAGTACTGGTCACAAAGGCCTAGCCGAGTGACAAGGCATCTGTGAACACATCAAGCGCGGGCTCCAGAAAGCACCAAGGCACCGAACCCCAAAAAGTGCCAAAAGGAAGCCGGAGATGCAACAACCGATGCAAGGCACCTGGGGGACGAACCCAGCAATCACTTGAGTGGTAGAAGGGATGGCCCCGAAGGAACCAGAACAAACGCCGCAGTCAAACCAAACCCAGCAGGTAAAGGATCATGTCGAAGTTCAGACTCCCAGACAGCTGCTTGAGCAACCTCTGAGTGACCCGCGACCTCCTCAGAAACAACCAACGACGGGACTGCAGCCGGAGCAATGCCGCCTGAGGGAGACAAGAATCCTGTCCAGGAATCCCAGACAAGGCCCAGCTAAATCTGAACCTAAGACATAACTAGATGGGACTAACTTCAGGTGAGCTGGGAAAGAACCAAACCTCTGGCGAGCAGACAAGCGGACTGGCCAAGAGCCCACAACAACCAGTTGTTGAGGAAGGCCAAAACCCGAACACTTACAAGATGCAGACGGGCCACCATGACTCGGGTAAGATGTGTGAAAATGCTAGGTGCCAGATTCAGCCCGACAGGAAGGCAATGAAAGTGGTAAGCCTGCCACCCCGCTACAAAACCTAACCAGTCCCTGAACTCCAGATGAATGGGAACATGCCAATACGTATCCCAGAGGCACCAACCATGAACCCGGCTCCAAGAGAAGCCTGACCTGGGACAGAGTGGTCATCTGAAAAGAGGGGGTAAGGAATCCAATGGTTCAGACAGGATAAATCCAGAATGAAATGAAGAGCCACACAGTCCTGTTTCAGAACTGGAAACAAATGGGAAACCCACTTGAGGGACAAGGTTGTCTTGACTACGTCCAAGTGCACCCACTCAAAGATGACCTGACGAAGCAAAGGGTAAGCCCTGCTAGCCCATCCCCGGAGGAGGAGCCGCCCAACGCCAAACCAGGCCAGAAGGCTCAACCTAACGGACCAAGCAAACAGGAGGAGACTGTATCCCAAGAGGGAGGACACATACCCCTGGATGGGTGGGCACATACCCCAGGAGGGAGGGAACGTACCCCAGGGGGGGGGGGGTTCATGTACCCCAGGAGGGGGCATACCCCAGGAGGTGGTACTGTATATATAATGCCACAAAAATATGAGTGTTTTTACTATGTAACTCAACAGTAATCGTTGTATGTATGAATAAAGCAGAGAATATTTCATTTAATAAATATCTGAATACTGTCACTTAGCTATAAGAATATCTATAACTGCTCCTGGTAGTGTCAAGCTATTGGTAAGCCTCTGCTTGGTAATTACTGCTTACAGGTTTTAACATAAATCTTACATACTGTAGAGGCCTAAAACGACCTGAAAATGTTATAATAGATTTTACAAAATCAAAGCTTTACCTCAAAGTTGGATCAGGTTCATGCCTATCCAGCAGGATTCGTAGTTCCTCCTCACTACGAGATTCTCCCTGATGCTCTTCAAGGAACCTTCGCAGTTCTAGCATAGTAATAACCTACAGAATAAAGCACAGAACAGTTTAGTTGCATATTTGACTATAATATTTGGAAAGGTTTTCATAGTTTCCCATTGTCACATACAGAAAGTCAATTAGGCTTATCAAGGACAATCTAGCCAATGACAGACCTTCAATCAGATGTAAACAGTAAGTCGACAATAACTTCTGGGTACCAATTTACTGCTAGGTGGAAAAGAGTGGCTGAAGTGTAAGGAAATGTGACCAATCTCACCCTGGGGATCAAACCCATGATCACTCAGCTACAACCCAACTGCACTAAATACTGTGCTACATGACATGCTTACAAACATTATTTACCTTTTATGGGGAAAGCGCCTTTTGGTTCTCCGAAGCTCTGAAGCTATTAAACAAACTCCACACATTCTCTTGTGCCATTTACATTTACAAAACCCTGTTCTTAAATACAAAACCTAATCTGAAACTCTTCATTGACAGATGTAATAGAACCCATAATCACCACACCAGAAATACATATATCTTTGATATCCCCCAGAGTCAAACTAAATCTTTGTAAACACACTATGAAAATAAATGGACTTCGTCTATGGAACTCACTCCCAAATGATTTGAAGAGCTGTCCAACCTACACCTTATTCAAAAATAAAATCAAAAAGTACAGTGGTACCTCTGTTTATGAATTTAATCCATTCCTAAAGACGGTTTGCAAACTGAAAATTCTTAAACTGAAACGAATTTTCCCATAAAAAAACAGTGTTGAATGTAATGAAATGCCACTTTCTGGGTGAACTCCGGAGGCTCCCTGGAGCGATCAGGCTGATGTGTGTTATATTAGTCTGGGGCATCAGTCAATTGGAGTTAAGACTACTGGGACCATGAGCCATAACCTGGCCCCATTGGTGAAACAAGGAAGCAATGGCCTATAGAAACCCCGCATGTGGTTGGGGCATTCCATGTCTGCCATCGACCAGGGTTGGCACCCAGAAAGGTAGGCATAGCCCCGGACCTTCCACGCCAGCTACCCAAGCCATCCAGTTCGGAGGCTGAGCATCAAAAAGGAAAGGGAACCGCCGACTGGAGGGAGGAAGGGTTGCCAGGGAGCCTCAGGGGCTCACCCAGAAAATGGCATTTTATCACATTCAATGCTGGTTTTATGTAGAGAGAGCTTTGACGGCTCCCTGGAGCTACATCACCAGAGAGACAAAATTAGGGACTTATCTGGGAGGGGGACGCCACTTGCTCCTCAACCCGAAGTCGAGACAACTGGCTGCAACCTGCGATCCAAAGCAACACATGGATGACTAGGACCAGGAAGATTGACAAAATAAAGTGCGGCAAAGACCTTGTTCGACTTCCAAAATTCCTGCACGCGAACAACAGCCCAGGACATATTGCTGATGATGGCAGGCAAAGTATGAAACATACGAACGTCGTGGGAACAAGGACGGACAGCAGTCTGACTAGAGATAATGACCCTGCGGACAACCTGGGAGACCCGAGCCCTGGAACAGGGAATGAGAGGAACCCAGATCAACCTAACGCCCATCCCCGGCCACAGAAGCAGAGGCGTGCAAGGAATGGCAAAGAGCCACAACCGAACACAATATATGATACACCCGGCTCCCCGGAGCTAACTACCCACAGAGGAAGGTCAAAGGGACAAAACCGGGAGGCGGACACCACGCACCCCCAAGGAGGCGAGACAACCGGCAGCAAACGCCAACCCAAGGCGCCACAGCCCCGAAAATCCCGGGAACAACACGAGAACCACGAGCAGCAAGGCCCCTGCACGAACACCAAAAATCCATGCCCGAAAGACTGCAAGGCCACGTCGCCCAGACGGCAGCGAGAGCAGCGAAGCCACGAACGCCACAGGCATAAGGGAAGAACACAGGCAGCTTAGCCACAAGAACACGGCTGACCACCCGGGACACCATCACCCGCGAACCGGGAAGAACAGAACCGGATCAACGCAAAACGCGCTCCGGACCCAAACGCCGTGGCACGCAAACAACAGCAGAGGGCCGCCACTGAACACAAAAACGACACACCCCCGGCCCGACCAACAAAGCACCAACAAACCTGGACCCCTCCAGAATGCAGCAGCCCCACCCCGCGCCAGAAAAGATGGAGACTGCTGCCATCAAACAACCAAAACGCTAAAACCGAAGGAGCAAGAAAACACAGCGAACCGACCCCCAGAGGCAAAGGCCCAAAGGAAAGAGCCGACGAAAAAACACACCGGAACCGAAGGGGCACTACCAACCGAGGAGAAGACAGAGCACGCTGACCAGAGACCAGGATGGTGCAAGCGGCGCACGAACAGGCCGGAGGTGAAATGACGCACAAGACAGCTGACTAACGGTGCAGAAGCAACACCAAGACCGAAAGCAAGCTGAAGCGGCTCCGCCTGCGCCGCACGAAAAGAGGCGACAGTATGTGGCAAGACGACGGCCCCCAACCCCCACTAGAAAACCAAGCCGAGAGTAAACCAAGCCAACAAGAAGGACCCACCGAAGAAGGGACAGGAAAAGGAAGGACCGCCAAAATACCCCATACTGCCGCCAAGAAGCACGCAGGTGGGACACCTACCACGAAGCCACCCGACCACCAACCGGAGGCGAGACCACGAGGCAGAACATAAGCAGCCCCGACAAGGCCCCCCCGAGCCCAGGAAAAAGGCGGAGCCGCGAGAAGATCTCGGGCGCGACCACCGAAACCCAGGCGGCACAAGGAGATGGAACGTCTGCCGAACAGAAAAACTCCGAAGCATGCAAGCCCGCCAGGAGTTCAGAAACGACGGGTCCGACGCGAGACATCGCAAGAACCCCCCCAAAAAAAATAAAACAACAACAACAACCGGCAGGGCAAGCTAGGAAAACCAAAGAAGGCGGAAGGGTCGCCGCCAGAACAGGACCCGAACCAAGGGGCCCGAACAACTGCAACAGACCGAAACAAAGAAGCACATCACAGGACACAGGCTGACCAACGCCTAAGAACACACGCAGAACATTCCTGCTGCAGAAGAGGCAGGAAGAAAGAGCAGAAGCACAAAAAAAAAAAAACCAGGAGAACAACCAGGGGTGGACAATCAGGCAGGGACAAAAACCCCACGCAATCCCCAGGCACAAAACGGCAGCAAAGCGCCACTCCACAACCGGACACAGGAACAAGGACACGCCACCGTGAAACACGGTACCAATGCTCACGTGCAGCAGCAGCAGCAACAGGCACCACTGCAACATGCAACATGTAAATAGCAACTCCCCTCTGCAAAGGCAGAGAACGGAGCAGGCAGACCCCAGACAGGGCCAACGGAGACACGACAAAACCCTGCAGGCCCAGAAACCTGCACCAGGCGACCGACGGCGGAGAAACCCCGCTCGATACCTGCTGGATGAGGTACTGGGAGCTCTTTTACACCTCAAGCCCGGCCCAAGGACAGGCCAGACCGGCCAGAGGATGGCCCACCAGGCAGCTGCTAGGAGCAGTCCACCGGCCCACATACCCCCACAACCAGGACGGGCCGGAACTGCCATACGAAAACAGGCCAGTGCGCCCTGGAAGTCCACGGACGAACCAGCAAGAAGGCTTATGCTCGCAAGTAGGTCGTGTAACAAGCACAGACCACTGATGGTAATACAGTGTTCCCCAAAAGTGCCAATAGCACCACTGCACTCCACTGGTACTATCCCGCAAGTTCTACCAGATAGGCGGGACCCAAGAGCCAGAGCTCAAATCCTGCAAGCACAGCCAGGAGCCTCACCAGGTGAGTACAGAACCAACCCTACAACCCCCACACCTCACAACATTAAAAAAGGAGGGTCCCCTGAACGACTGTAGCATGGGTTGGACATGCACAGGAGGGGGACAGGAAGGGGTGATAAAGGGACAGTCACTGGTGTGCGAACGGTCTCAGTCGTACAAAATTATACCTAAATAAAGACAGGTATATGAACACCGCCGCATCCAGCGCCCGGCCAAAAGACGCCAGACCGCAGAAACTCACCTGGCGAATGGTGGCTCGAACTTGACACGACTCAACCGTGCCCAGAAGAACTTGGGAGCACCGCCAGGTGAAGACGCCAGAGCCGGACCCGCAGGAGAACAGGGAGAGGCGAAGGAGGCGGTCCACACCCATGACACAGAAAACCGCGGTGTCCTCCCCACAACTGGGAACCAGGACACCCCTGGCGCAAAGGGGCACATACCGCAGCCAGGGAGAAGAACGAGAGGCGAAGCACTGTAGCAAAAAAGGGCGCAAAACCCCAGCACTGAACCATCGCCCAGACCAAAACAAACTCCACGGCGCATGCGCATAACACGCTGGCCGAACCGCACACCCTCCCTGCGGGAAGGCGCCAGCCAGGACTATTGCACGAGAAAAAGAGCCAAAAGAGGAAGCAGGAACAAGAAAACCGGCCAAAGAAGCAAAGAGCCCAAAAAAAGGGAACCCAAACGGGCGACAAGTAGCCCAAACGGGCGACAAGTAGCCCAAACGGCCGACAAGTAGCCCAACCGGGCGACAAGTAGCCCAACCGGGCGACAAGTAGCCCAACAGGGCGACAAGTAGCCCAACAGGGCGACAAGTAGCCCAACAGGGCGACAAGTAGCCCAACAGGGCGACAAGTAGCCCAACAGGGCGACAAGTACTAGGAGCCGACAGACGTTCCAATAATGCGGGAAGTAGCGAAAAACCTTCCCGTACCCTCGAGAACACAGAAGCCAACACTAGTCCCGAAGGCACACGAAGGCGCAGGCGCACCCGAGATCAAAAGTCACGCAGAACCCCATCGAACGGGGAAACATGACAAAAACACCGTCCCAAAAAGCGGGGGAGGAAACATCCACCCACAGGACGGAACCAACCGACTCAAAGGCCAAGGAACCGAGCCCGGGGAGGGGCCGACGTCCAACAGCACGTACGGCGAGTGGGGAGGAAAAACCCCACTCCGCGTAACCACAAGCCCCGCCTAGAGGGGGATAAAACCCCCCACGGGGTCTAACGGGGCCAAGGC